GTGGGGCTGCACTTCAGTGAGCGATGAGGTGGGTCCCCTCCTGCATGTAATGTGCTCTAGTGGATGAGAACCCCTCCATAAGTGCCAAGTATTGTTATTAACTGGGGCTGCTCTTTTGCAGCAGGACGCCGGCAGAAACAGAGGGCGATTCTTCAGTGATCTACAGCAGTGTGGGGAAGCCGGGCGAACGCAGGCCGTGAGCACTGGCGCCTTCTGCAGGCAGGGTCCCCCTTGAGCACCCGGACAGGGTAAAAAAGATGATCTGTGCTGGCGAACGGTGGTCACGCTGCCCTGTCCAACCACAGGCCGGCCGGCCTGGGCTTTTACCACCATGAGGGACTTTGGAAGCGCGGGGCAAGCTCACCAGCCCCCCGTGCCAAATACCCTAGCGTGGAAGCACTGTCAGATCCCAATGCCCCCACTGTAGCACCTCCAGAAACAAACAGAGTCAGCTGTTGATTTTGTGGACACTGCAACATTTTTGGCAATACACCGGCTCCTGCAAAAACTGGACGCAATCCAACAGAGAGAAGTGCAGTTCCCTGCATCTACACCTGTTGCAAAAAACAGCTTCTCTTTCTCTACGGATTCTCTCAATGAAGTGGCTTGCATGTGCAACGTGCATAAAACAAGCAAGGAAACATACAAGCCCACTGTATGTCTCCTTTGTTTTTAACTCATGAGTGTTTTTTGGAGTGCTTTGCTTTTGTGGTGTAATTTGGTCCCTGGCCTGGTTTAATGTTGTTGTTTTTTCTGTTGTGTGCGCAGTATCACTCGTGATTTCTGATTAATTATTTTATCGATAGGCAAATAAGTCCGACATTGACCCTCAAGCAAGAGCAGGATACACACGGATCTTACCACCTGCACAGGTCTTTCATTGTGTTGTTTGGTTTCAGTTTTCTCTTGTTATGGTCTGAGTTCAAATTTGTTTCAGGCATTCTTAATAGTAAAATCAGTGATTACCACAAAGTAGCCAAATGAAAGGACGTCTTGTTATGGCAGCAGCGTTATCACCTGGTAACCTGATCAAGTCAGTTTTCAGAAGCTGAGCAAGGCTGGGACTGGTCAGTTCTGGGTTGGGAGGCCTCCAGTAAAGCATGTAAATGCAGCAAGTGATGTTGTTAGAGCACTATGGGGTGCTCTTCCCTCAAGACCGGAATTTCTATACTAATTCTCCAGTGTGGTGAAGAGGGACACTGTAACCTAATGCGTCATCCTTCAATTGAGAAGTAAAAATGAAGTCCTCTCTACTTGCATGTTAAAGACCCCAGGGTAGTTCATAAGTATAGGGAGTTAATCACAGTGCACTGGATAATCTCTGGGCTGTCCAGTCTGTCCTTCCTCACATCCCCCCTTACTTCACCTGGTGCAGCAGTTTCTCTCAGCTCCCCTTCATCTGACTGCAGTGGGGCTTCTTGTGTGAGTGACCACTGTGTGTCTCCCAGGTGGGGCTGCTGGTGCAGAATGACCACTGTGTGTCTCCCAGGTGGGGCCTCTTGTGCGAGTGACCACTGTGTGTCTCCCAGGTGAGGCTGCTGGTGCAGAATGTCCACTGTGTGTCTCCCAGGTGGGGCTGCTGGTGCAGAATGACCCCTGTGTGTCTCCCAGGTGGGGCTGCTGGTGCAGATTGACCACTGTGTGTCTCCCAGGTGGGGCCTCTTGTGCGAGTGACCACTGTGTGTCTCCCAGGTGGGGCTGCTGGTGCAGAATGTGTGTCTTCTGTTTCGTGTTTTTAAAGGTCATATGAATGCAGGAGAATTTTTACAGCAATTGATATGACTACACTGGAATGTCCTCATTTATTCCAAAAGGGTGCTGTAAATATAAGGGGTTTATTTTTGATGACTCTTCCAGTCTCCAGATCTGTAGATGACAAGCTGCAGCATTAACAATGAAAAGATGTGCTTGCCCAGCTTAAACACCACGTCTCTGGGTGGAAACATGTGGCTGTGGTTAATTAAAGAGCTTGGAGCACCTGTAGCAGCAGTAAACCAGAGAGCGTGTCCTGAAAGCAACGCCGAAGCAACAGCTGGAGGACAATCACACGGCACTCGAATCTGTGTGTGTTGAGGGAGGAACTGAAACTGAGCTCAAGCTATGAATTCATTCGGAGAGGCAGGGGACTAGGTGGAAAAAAATCTTTCCACCCCAGAAATGCAAGTGTCCAATGAGAACTGTATTGTAGTTTTTTGTTTTTGTTTCTGATGTTTTGAAATTTGGAATGACTTTACTGTTAATATTAAGCCTAGTGGGTTTTTTTATTCAATGACTCCTTTCACATTCAATAGCATAATTCAGCAGGCTTGTCCCTTTTAGGATATTTACTGTAGACTTCAGACGCACAGAGAAAATGGAATTATAATCTAAGAGTATTTTCATTCTATTTAAATGTATTAATGATCTAACACATTAATACACAATTTACACATCTGTTTTTAACATGTAATACAACAAGATTCCTGCAACACAATGGCTCATTGGCTAACTGACCGATCAAGAAATCAAGTGATTAAAATGCTTAAAAATAATCATGCTTAAAAAAGTGATCCAGGATTGTGGCATTTTAGGGATTTTAAATGTGATCTTTTTAAACAACTAAGTTTGTCATGCTCTGAAAAAACAAGTCTTAAAAAGCCAGTGTTTCATTAGGACTATGCAGCACTTTTAAAACAATCTCCATGCCAAAATGAGATCAGGCTAAATTTGAGGGGTTTACCAGCATGGTTACCAGTCTCATTTAAACAAATGCTTTAATTCTTTAAATTCTTTAATTCTTTCTAATGATTTAATGTTCTTAATTGGATTTCTCTCATTGCCATACACTTCTTAAACATTTTGGAATTCCTACAAGGATTCATACAAAACTCAAAATAAAACTTGTCGGAAACCATATAACAGTTTTTGTTGGTGTAATCAAGCACATTATTAATACTATTAATGGTTCAGTTCAGTAGTTGAGAGTATATATGGAAACAAACTGGTATTCACTGATCTGTAACAAGCAGAACTGAAACACCTGCTTTTCACTAGTTTTCAGAAACAGTCCAGATCTGTCCAGTTGAAAGCTATATTGCAATGTAAAATGAATGTTATTGGCAAAATTATAGTAAGCTTTTCTGCAAAGGATGTAAATTATTCACCATATATTTAATACTGACTTTGTGTAAATTAAACAGACTAACTTCAAGAGGTAATTATAACATTGACACAAACCAGAGCACTCAGAGTGAACCCACACGAACAAGGGGAAGAGCATACAAGCTCCACGCAGACAGCGATGCTGACCGCTGTGTGGACAACAAACTGCCCGGTCGTGGGGTGAGCCCCTGTGTCACTGCGGTCCTGGAAGCCGTACCCTCCCAGCGTGCGCTGGCGTGGCCGTGAGCGCGGGGCCCGTGAAGTCGAGCTGGAAAGGCGGCGGCGAAGCAGCTCACGAGCGGAGGGTGCGAGCGCTCTGGGTGAGCGGCCCGTGGGATTCTCTGGACGACGGCCCTCTGTCCTGCTGGTGGACGGTCCACTCTAAGTGGCTGCAGTGGGGATGATGGTGAACGCTGCAGCTCCATTCCATACGGGTATCGACTGGTACAGTGCAGAGAAAGAGACGGTTAGACACAGCAGATGGGAGGAATGAATATTAGTCCTGGTATTTCACTGAGAGGTGGAACCTCTTTCTAATTCTGACGGCTGGGCTGTACAGAATGTATGGATGCATGCTGTGTTTGAACATTGCGTTGGCGCAGGGTTCAGCTCCACCGGGGGCACACATGAGGAAACCAGACATTACATGCTGGCCCACGGAACTGTCTGTGTGTGGGTCTGGAGGACAATAAGCCAGCTAAGTTCGTGTCGGCAAATTTATGTGTCACACCTTTTTCTACTAAACAATATACACGCAAAATTCTGCTTTTCAAAAAAGTGTAACCTGGCAACCAAATAAAATACCCCCATAATAAATAACGCTGTTAGGAGACCCTGTTTCACCTTTGCTTACAGTGAGTTGTGAGCAGGAGGGACAGCATCACAATTCACACGAACTCTCGCTCTGGGCTGTGACGAGACCAGTGATTTCTCGTCTGCCCTGACATCATGGAGACCAGACAGTACTTCACAAAGTTCATGATTTTACACTTCGATTGTTGTGTTAAATAACTGTTAATTTATTTTGTTACTGAGATTTAATAACTGGTCTGAGAAATTAGGACTGCAGTTCCCCTTTAAAATCCTATTTATTTTGTGCTAATATTAATTCCCATAATCAATTGAAACTGCCTATTCTTTAAAGAAACCATAAACCTAGAGAGTATTCCTAGTAAGACGCACAGATAAAATGAATCGTATTTAAAACAGGCCAACTGTCTTTTAATGTGGTTAATTCAGTAAACCATCAGCGTTTAAATCTTAGTTGAAAACCTTAGCAACCACTCAAGAGCGGTTTCAAACAACCCCCTGCAAAACTCGTATCTTGCGGGCACACAAACGACACTCGCTATAAGCCAGCGGTACCACTATTCCCTAAGGTCAGCAGTACCGCACACATAGAAATTTCACCACATGTACCCATCCAGACCGGAAACCACTGGTCTCCAGTTCCAGGTCTTCACCAAATTGACATCCAGCGTCCCATAGTTTCAAAATGGAGGCCTACAGAAACTTCGGTACCATCAGGTGGAGAAAAGATAATAGGAAGATTATTGTATAAGGATACTAAGGTAAGTAGTGTTTTTTTTTTCTTGAACGCGAGTGGAATTAGATTCAGTATTTCTAGGTTTCCTGCGATACACCGTCCTCTAACATAGCTGATAAACACAGCCCTGTCGCCGTTTTCAGCCATGAACATTTATATTTCTGTGTGCATGTTTTTAAAGGTATCTAAAATTCAACGTGATATTGCACTACATGTTTTGTGTTCTTTGCTGAATGAGTTATTTTGTCCAAACCTGAGCGCAATGTATTGTAGTTCAATTTGATTATCCTTTATCCGCGAATATGTTTCACCTAGATGTACGCCTGTGTTAGAATAATCATTTCTGTTTGTTTTTAACTTAATTTTCAGAAAGTAATTGAGTGATACAACTGTAAAAGTTTGTTCTTTAGGCTAATGAAACACCGTCACGTTATTAAAATAAAACTCTCCGGTAAAATCTTGTCAAATGGTGGTTGGCTCTCACGCCTCCGTTGCGCTGTTCTAGTGGCGAGATGGGAACTTGGTTCTTTTGCTCCCCCTAGTGGCGAAATGGGAATTTGGACCCTGAATAGTGCCGGCAGAGATTGCTAATCCTAGTCTTGGAGAACAGGTGTCTGTGGGGTTTCCAGGTGCATTTGAAGCAGCAGCAGCAGCAACAGTAGCTCCTGAATATCTAGGAGATGCTGTTACTGATCCAGTTAAGCCCGTAAGGAGTTGATCCAGGTTGTTACTAGTTGAGATGGACTGAGAACTGTTTTAAACCTTGTTACTGCTGCTTTGTGAAACTTTTTTAAAACTATAAAAAAGTGCCAGTTTTGAATGCAGTAGCCCTTAATTTGTTGTAGAAATTTGTTGTTATACTGTACTGTATAATAATGTATTCGAACATCATTAACAATATGAATTTAAGAATATAAATTAGTAGTAGTGGTATTACTGTTTTACAGTTGTTAAAATTGAA